GAAAGATTTTCTAGCAATCACCTTACGCTCATTCCCACAATATACTTTAAACACACCTAGTGACACTAACGACACACGTAGTTTTGTAGATGAACATGTTTTATTGCCAACACTTCATTGGACAGCATATTACCATTTTACTAATCCCCTTTGCCTGCCACTAACGATATAGAAAAGAATAAAGATATGGTATATAGACTCACCGCAACACTAACACCTAGACAATTTACTTATATACGATATAAAAAATCACTAAAAACATTCAATGCACCCCGAGCTAACGAATTTACAATAGAATATTATGACCATAATATCATCCGAACTAATCAAGACTAATTTCTAGATGACGACCGCTTCGCTAACCCACAACTAACAGAAAAATTCTTCATCAAAACGTCATATGTATTCACACTTAATATTTTTGATAGAAAATATGATCACATCATTTCTGAAGCACTAACTGACATTCAAGCTTACGACAGTTTTAAAGAAAAATTTCAGTTATTTTCACTAACCTTTCACTTCCTTGCACCACATGAACGCGATTTGCACTGTTCACACAACATTATGTTACGCACTAAACAGACTCATACATATACATACTATCGCTTTATAGAAAATCATTTTGATTTACATACTCCATCAAGACAACCACACCATCGTTTTCAGTTTTTTAACTCGAAGTACTCTTCACCATTTTTTCTTAATTTCACCTATTGCATCAAGGAGACTAACCTCCACGGCATCCTCCGCAATTATGACCCAGTAACACAAATGTATATATTTTGTCCCATCACGAAGACCTTTAATGCCGAAGAATCCAGACCCTTCCTTATCCCACATGAATTTATCCAACCTATAGAAATCCCAATATTAGAAATTATTCACAATACTAAATATAATCACAAAATATATAACCTCATTCAAAACACACATTATGAGTTTGCAGTAGGCACCGAAGAACTAAAAACCATTAAAGCACTTCAATTGCTTTGGCCACTGCTCCAAACTAAAAACATCATTCGCATACTAGCAAAATTACTAACAACTTCGGACATAATACACGACATCTTTTCCCACGGCTTTTTCCCAGACAACTAACAAGTAAGTATAATTTAAAAATATTCTTAACTAATAAATTTAAATTAGTACTAACCATTCTTTACTCATGTTTCTTTTACATTTTTAGTCTTCATACCACGATTATCTGCAAAAAAACAGAAAAGAAAAATAAAAAATAAACTTGTTAAAATTCTTCTAAACTTCATTATTATTTTACACAAGATAATATGATAAAATTCATACCAAATGTAGTACATTAAATTATAAATTATTCCCCCATAAAGCAGTAAATTTAATTATGATAAAAATTTATAACTTTAAATTTCCCCCAAAAACTAGCAGTAAAATTGAAATTCTATGTAATAAATTGATAAAATGAAAATGCAGTACTAACTTTTTGATATTTTCATTCACTCGAACAGGAATTTTATCCAAATTCGCACAGCTCGACCACGAAGAATTGCTTAGATAAAAATTTTAAGTTTCAAGTTTTCACACTCAACAACTCTAACACACGATAACAAATTTCAAACTTTCCTTTAACCCGGTTGGAAAGGAATTATATACTAAACCAAACTAACCAACGCAGCTTACTAAACACCACAAATCATAAAATAACAGCATGACTAAGAAAAGAAAACCAACGGTACCCAAACCGGATTAACCCAGTTTAAAACTGGATAATTTATTCTTTTGAAGACTATTATAAAGTCTAAGAAAGAAATAATAAAACACAAAAAAGTCAAAAGACAAACCCATAACAAAAGCAATTTGATTTTTGAAAAAAGGACACAACCAAAGAAACATAAGAAAGACCAACATAAACCCAACATAAAATGTTATCACATAACAGGACCTCTCAAAGAAACCGCACGAAACCATACTCCTACTCCTGGCCTAACCCACCAGAGAGGACGTCCTGAGCATGCTCTATAGCCGGCCTAACCCACCGCGCTACATCCACGCTTTGTGACCACACTTCTATTTTTAATAAGAGGTACTCAAGGGTGAGTAACTCTTCAAAATAACAGAACTAAAACAAAATGTTTTGTGAAAACAACTAACTAAATTCATAATTAAAAAACCAAGATAATAAAAATTTTATAAAATGTAAATCATACCTTGCAGTATAAAGATCAACACAAAACAACAAAGACGAACATCCAAAGACAAAATGATCCCATTACACTCGAACAAGAATGGCTAACCACAACCGATTTGCCGTCCACAATCACAACTCAAAGGATTTAGAGTACGACTTGACTTCGCAGAAAAGGACTTCATTGAACTAGACCAATGACCACCTCGATGTTCAAGTATACGTACAGATCCGAGTTACGAGGCATCCCTTCCACACACGATCTCCACGCCATTTCCAGACGAGGTTGAACACAAAACAAGTTCTCTACAGAATACAGAAAAACCCGTCATAGCAAATCATTTTTAAATCAGATTGATTTCATTGGGGATCACAGTCGTTGTCACAAGACGACGCAACGATTGTATGTCCCTAACTCCAGCGTCCTGGAACTTCCTTAACAAGAGGAACCGGACAAGAATATGATATTCGCCAAATACCAACGTTCATCATCCATCCTTTGAATTGCAGAAAGATAATTCTAAAAAACTCTGGAAAACCCGGGTGGGTGGAACCTGATCTAAACTACATTTTATAATTGGATAAATTGGATATTTTACCACTGTAAAATATTTAATATTAACCAATCATAATCCATCTAACTAACAACCCACTTATTTGTAAATGCTGAAATTACTTGTAATTTCAGCACCAGAGAGATTTGAATTTAACTTAGAAATTAGTTGCCTCTCCAAGAGAACTTCAGCAGCCGCAATAAACCAGTATTCCCTAGATCTATTGAGCCTAGCAGAGACTAGTTAAACACCCTGAGATTAGTAAGTATAAGAGTAAGATTAGGATCGGTATTAGACTAAGAAGTTGCACGAATCTATCCGGCCGAAAATAAGATAGCGTGACGAGCAGACGGTGTACCCTATCCAAAATTACTCTATGAGTTAACCAGTGAGGTCATAACACACCTGGTGCGACCATAATTTACAAATAAGACCTTAATAGCTTAGAACTAACCAAAAATAGATTAGAATTTAACAAAACATTTTCAAAAGAGTATCTTCGCTTACTTTCTCGCCCGACTCTTCAACAAAAACAGATGAAGAAAATCAAGTTAATAATTTTACCCAAAAAATAAAATCAAACCCTCCCCCCTCCCCCACCTACAGATAGACCAAGCTAAGATTTTCCAACCAGCAGTTCCATTTTAATTCGCATTTGCTAAGCGCTGCATGTAAAATGCTCGATTCTGATGGGCTGAAATTTTACAACTTAGAACCAAGTTAACCTTCTCCCCCGCCCCAATTGCTTCGGGGGATGTTTACTTGGTCCAAAAAATAAACAGCACGTCAGCTAGAACTCTGTAAGCCGTTGATTAAACAAATCAGTTGCAAATACCATGAGGACTAAATATTACTAGGGACGCTATCAGAACAACAATTGTCTCACTAGGCAAGGTAATGTCTGAAATGGTTGTTAGTGTTTTATTTGACAAGATCCTCACTCCATTAACAAAGAAAAAAAATTCCTAATAAGTGCCAGCTTAACGGTTGAATTTTGCTCCAATAGAGCTTAAAACTTCAACCTATTAACAGCTACCCTAGTTTTGGGGTCTCTGTTTATTCCGTCGTCAACTTGAAAGCCCATCATTAACTACAAATTTTTATAATTTTGAGTACATTTTTATAATAAAAAAATGTTCTTTATAAATTGTTAATAACTTTTATTTCCGTTTTCATAATTTGAGATGTGCGAATTTGGGTGGAAATAAACACTCTTTTTAAAACTGATTAAGTCGGTTGAAGGTTTGTACCTGGTGGAAGGAAGAAAGTGAAGATAGAAAGAAAGTAGAGCAGGACATTTGGGTAGATGAGGAAAATCCCGAAGAAGAGAGATCTTCTCCTCAGAGGAACTGCAATTGTAAATAAACGTCGTTTTCAGGCAGACAGAATAAAACGTTTTCTATAGCTCTTAGAAATTACCATTTTTAATATTCCAAAATCTAAACTAATTTTTTTTCTATGATGGCGACAGGCGAACGAGTTTTTATCTTCCAAAAGAAGGTGTTCCAGAAAATATTTACTTCATTTACTTATTAAAAATAATTTTGTGTTTTTATAAGCTATTCCAGACAAAAAAAATGACAAGCGGGGGGTGGTGAACAGGTTAAATCGAAAGGTCGGATGTTCGAGGCCCACCATGTGGAACCTGATCTAAACTATATTTCATGATTGGATAAATTAGATATTTTACCACTGTAAAGTTTTTAATATTAACCAATCATGATCCATCTAACTAACAACCCACTTATTTGTAAGTGCTGAAATTACTTGTAATTTCAGCACCAGAGAGATTTGAATTTAACTTAGAAATTAGTTGTCTCTCCAAGAGAACTTCAGCAGCCGCAACAAACCAGTATACCCTAGATCTATTGAGCCTAGCAGAGACTAGTTAAACACCCTGAGACTAGAAAGTATAAGAGTAAGATTAGGATCGGTATTAGACTAAGAAGTTGCACGATTATATCCGGCCGAAAATAAGATAGCGTGACGAGCAGACGGTGTACCCTATCCGAAATTACTCTATGAGTTAACCACATCGGTCATAACTCACATGTTCCGTGCTCGTTGCTTGAGGGTTAGGCAACATTACCCAGCCCAGAAAAATAACCAAAAAAATTGTATGTATTTCTTAATCAGGGGTACAACAGCGGTTCGCCGCGATGAGCTGTACAGCTCGGGTGTTGGATCTTTCCCTCGTGAATAAATAGTCTTAACAAAAAAAATGTATTTATTTTCACTTCTTGTATTGTATGCTCTGTCTGCGTGACTTCGTTCGTCTAATTCAACTATCCTCGTATGGTGATCATGCTTGTGTTGCCACCCGAAGGGTGGTCCCATTCTTCAACCTCTTCGATCAGAACTCCCTGTTTGTCCACTGCCCATTGCTCGTGCTCAGTGTAGTATCTCAGATTCAGAGGCGCAAGTTTAGCTCCATTTGTGCTGGTCCATATATGGTCGATTTCTGAAACAAATCTATTTTCAAATTCAGTAATTAACCATTCAATGGCTTCAAGGCTCACAGGAAGCTAAAAATTTGTACCGATTTTGGAAGGAATTAATTTTAATTCAATCTAAAACTGTTTTTTTTTTCATCTCAGGAAACACTATATTTATCAAAAATAACAAAAATTGAACAAAAATGGACCCGCTGAGCATAAAAACTCAAACCAAGACCGTATTTGCATCTGGTTGCAATAATTGCAAGTACCTACAGAAGATTTGGCCGATGAAGGTAATGACTACTTTCAAGGGTTATCGCAACGATACCACAGAAGTTTTTTTTTAAAGCTTTGAAGCTTTGCATAAATAATCCTACTTTACCATTACAAAAAAAATCAGCAGGCTGAAAATTTGAAACCAATTTCCAAGTCTAGCAAATAAAAGTCAAGAGAAATTTGAGCCAATTTGTGAAAGTGATAGAGATATGTGTTAACCCACACGGGAAGACGTTACCGGACGTCTTTCAATTCTTTTGTTATAAAATCTGTACTTGACAAGAATTTATCAAGCATTTATCAAATACCCGCAAGCAAACCGTCGGGTTTTGAAGCAAGACAACTTAACTCCTAATCATTGCGCCAAGACATGGCAGCAAGATTTTACGAAATGACATTTTGTTTTGAAAATCACAGCTTTACCTAACGGAACTCGCAATTTTCAAAAAAATATGATATCACTTCTTCAAAATTCAGGGCTTGATTTTAAAACTGAGAATTTTTACAATCTAAGAAAACTGTCTGTTGCTTTGTGGGTGGTTGTTGCAACCAATGAACAAATTTTCCTGTTCAGAAGCTCTTTTTTCTTGTCCAGAAACCTTGTTTCGAAGATCAAAAACAAGCGTTCGAAGCTCAGAAACCAAAAAAAAATTCTTTGCACCAATTGCTGATTAAAAAAATCAGACTGACTCTTCACCCGACTTTTAGAAACCCCGTAACTGTGAGGTTGGACAAACTGACTTTTGTAGTGAGTGAAAGTTATGCTTGTGAGAACAAATTGCGGCAACACTTTAAAAAAATGCTGATATCTAGCTTCAAATTGAAAAGCAGATCAGTTCAATTGCTCGCGTCAGATTTTATAGAAGCTTGGGTATGCAGTTGACCAGAATAGACATTTTTGTGCAAAAAAAATTGTAAAAAAGGCAACAATTTTGTTTACGCAGACGTTGATCCTAGGAGAGCGACGAGAATCATCTTTTTGCTGCTGAATCGAAGAAATTATAAACCACATTTCCTGTGGAAACCAGATTATACATAGATGCAATCAGACCATCCCAACTTGTTTGAATAAAGAGGCGACTCAAAAATCAATCAAAGATTTTTTGCTTAAAAACTTGAAAACTGTTCAAAAATTTTGAATGAGACTGATCTATTGAATTGAAACATGAAGCTCATCGAGTTCAGAGAAAAAAATTGTCTCACTTTTTTCCTGTAGCTAGCAAGACTGAGTTTTTGGTGCTTATTTCTACAGTTCCTTTGATAAGATTTGCGACGTAAATATTATCCAAGAGTCGTTCACTGATGCGCTGTGTCTAAATGTTACTGACGAAGTTTGTATATTAAGCATTGATTTGATAAGCTAAGGAAAAATGGTTGCAGAGACTTCTTAAAGCAGACAAAATGTAGGTTTTCGTACAATCTTGTTGCGCCAAACTAAAAAATACAGAAAAAAACCCGAAATGATTATAGAGGAGTTTGAAAGTAAAGAGTTGTTTGCTTATGCAGCAAGTCATGTTGACGCTATGAGAGCAATTTCTATAAGCTCAAATTTAGCAGCAAAGTTCTACATTAAAAAATTCTGTGGGAATTGTAAAGTGGAGGAAACTCTTGAGAATTGTTTTTTATATCTACAAATACAACATTTGAGCCATCAATCCTATGTTGCTACATGCCAGCAGACAAAAAAGTTCAGATATTTTTAAACCAAAAAGACTCTTTCGGAATGATTAATTGACACGAAACCTGCAATTTATAGGTTTGATTTATCACTTCATATTGTTTAAAAAAAATTGTATGTAATGCAAAGTTGTTTTGTTGTGTAGGTTTGAATAAAAGATATTATACTATTCATTTTTTTCCTTGTAAATTTTAAAATCAACTCTTCGAAAAATTTCAATAGCTTTCAGCATTGGTTGGGTTGTTGCTCTTTGTGGGTTAGTCGAAACAGAAAACAGTGAAACGTCTGGCGCATACTATGTCAAACATTCCAGAAAAAACTCATTTCGATTTCAAAAATTAATAAAAACCCAAACTATGAAATTGAATATTAAACCACTATAATATTTTATGCTACTTAATCACAAACAAAAGCACTTTAGAAAAAAAAATATGTCATGCGCTCGATTTTATTTGGAAACAACTAGATTTAACACAAAAAACGTGAAAAAATTCAGTTTTAATACCATTTGGTTATCAAATAAGGTAATCAAAATAAAACCTTTCCATTTATTTATCCTATCAGAATACAGGACAAACCAAATGTTCTATTCTAATTGATAAGTATCTGAGCTATATCCTATATTAGTTCTTGAGGGTTAAGACTTCCCCCTAAGCTCAGCGCTAGCATCTACTGCTCAAATCAATTGAAAATTTTACCTAAAGCTTCGCAACTGATATTTAGATCTTATGTTGACAGTTTGTTTGTGTAGAAAAATTAATCGCTTTCGTTTTTGTTCTAAATATTGGCGGATTAACCAATAAACCAAAAAATGTCTGTATTAGAAAGCTCTGTCAACCTCGCCATTTAGAACCCTGTGCTTATTTTTCGTTTTTCCTACTTAGTTGGAATGCGCCTCTTTCCCACGCCCACGGCTGCAATCGGATGTTGCACTCTTGGGAGTCGAAGGGGAACCTGTTCACGTGAAATGTGCAGGACAGTTTCTGGGTCACAATTGCAGACCAGCCGACCACCAAACCTGTCTTGGAGACCACCTGGCGCTCGGAGGTTGCGTGGACTAGTTCGATCGTATCTCGAGGCACTGAAACACGTTACTTTATTCAATTCTTAATATTTACATACTTTACTAGAAGTGCCCCAAAATGCGATCGATATTTTGATTTAAATATTTGGCCAGAGTTTTAGTTGATGTATTCTAATATAAGAATACATTAAAAGTATGGCCAGATAATTCAATTAAAATATCGATCACATCTAGAGGCACTAAGCGTTCACGTGAGCAGCAAGCTATTGAAAAAAATTAAAATTTGCTATAATTTAAGCATACAGTAAGATAATGGCGAGATATTTGAATTAAGATAATTATAAACCTCTTCGACAGGCATATATATATGAACTCCATACACCGAAAATGCTTATCATACAATTCCATGCAGCAAAAATCCTACCATACAATTCCATACATCAAGTGTATGGAAAAAATGCTTGTAATACTATTTTCATACATTTTCGAAAAACAATAGAAAATAGAAACTAAACAATTTCTGCGGCTTTTTGAGAACAGTTGAACAGACTGGTAACGGAAAAAACTGACTGCATTTTTTTTAATGCTTATCATACATTTTCCATATATGAAAAATGTATGACAAGCAATTTGGCCATAAGGGATCATTTTTTCAAAATTGTTTGCAAACCAGTTGTTGGAAACTTTAAATGAGTTGGTAGCATTTTTTCAAATGATGAGAACAAATTGCGAGAACATGTAAGTTCAAATCCAAGTAAAGGAGAAGCAATCAAGAACGAAAAAACAGAAATTTAATTTATTTTTTTCTCTCGAAAATGGCTTGATGCAAGTAACCTTTTCTGGAATTGGTCACCATTTAGCGTTATTAGGGTTTGCAGATAGGTAATAAAGCCCTATAACTATGTAATTTAACCGTTTTTAATGGAAAAAAATCAAATATGAAAAAAAAATTGGAATTTTTTTTTATTTTGAGCTAACAAAATTTACATTTCATACAATTTTCTGTACGTATGGAATTGTATCGAATTGTATGACAAAAAGCGTCTGATTTATGAGAATTGTATTATAATTTTTTTTGGTCAACCCGGGTATGTTGTTTTTAGATTATAAAATGTATAATAAAGGTGGGCTCTGCGTTGTTTTTGATACAAAGTCAACAAAATTGTAAAAATTAACAACCAAGGTTATCCAAAACGTCTAATTATTTAATTTCTATATACAAAAATTTCTTGTTTTGTAATGACTTATAAATCCATAGATACGGGAAAATGTGTGGAACCTCTATGATAAGCATTATTTTATACGTAGACATTGCACGAAGGACATGGAAATTGTATGGCACGCATTTTGATTAAAAATAAAAAAGATTCGCCTTACAAATTTGTGTTTGATTCGAGAAAAAATTAGCCTGAGATTTTCTCAAATGAGAAAACTGATAAGTTAAGTAGCTAAAAACTCACGGAATAACTGCATTTTGATATTTGTCTTTGAAATTAATGGAATGAGTTTTACATTGAAATCTAACAAAAAACTTTAAGTTTTGTATCTGGCTTGAAAAATTCTACAGTCACGATTCAAAGAAGTCGCAACGCTTCGATATCCAGGAACAATTGAACGAAATTTTTTCTTCAAATTTTCGTACTTTTTTCTACAATTATTTAAAACTTTTGGCACATACTAAAACACACTATTTGGAAGCATTAGTAAAAAGAATACTAGCTGGATCAAATTTTGAGATGTCGTGTTTTGGATGCTTAAAACATCTAGTACATTGTAATTTGTTTCAATAAGGTTCTTGCTGTGGAAACATAATCGCAAACAATACCAGTAATTTGAATTTATATGGTCAAATAGTTTCTCAGAAAATCTGATGAACGTGACTTTCTCTTAAAATTGAGGAAAAACGACAGGCAAAGAGTTGATAAATTTACTTGGTCCAATGTATGAAAAACCGGCTAAACTCGACTATTAATTTTACGCTGCTCTATCAAAAATGCAATAAAATTGACTGCTCGATTCATGCACAGGATTTTTATCAGCAATTTTTTTTTCTGTAAATTTTGTCCATTTTTTTAGCCTAAAAGCGCCCACAACATTTTAATATCTATATCATCAAAACAGATACGGCTGGCTTATAACGGCGTATCAAGAAATTCGTTCAAATATTCTTTTTGTGCGTGTGTGTGTGTGATTGGCTGCATTAAGTGTAAGTCAAGCTCATGAGCTTTTCAAAAAACCAGTTTGAGCAAAATAATTCAAATTCTTTGCGTTATTTGCAAAAATGTTTCCAAAGCAAGAACCACTTTTCAACAAATCATGATATACTGGCTGTTTTACGCTTCCAAAAAAATTTTTTAAAAAAATGATCCGTATAGCTTTTTCAAGATAGTTAAATTTAATATTTATCAGTTTTACAACCCTATCTAAGTTATTTGCAGATAAAACGATAAAAGTGTGTATAAAAAACGATAAAATGAAAAAATTGAAATTTTTTTGTCCCGTGATTTTACCTGGGAATATTCAGAGGTGATAAATCGTGGCCTGTTAAGAACAAAAAAAATAAACAGAGCGTGATTAAAACCCAAACGATAGTAGCGATGGATAAAATGGCGAGATACCCTAATATTAACGTAGTTACAGTATGCGGACATAATGCTTTTAATAATAATCATACAAAAATATTATATCATAAATATAGGATAACTAAAATAGGAGACATGGGCGAGAATTTAAGAATATTTCAGCGAGAGTCCAATAGAAAAAAAATCAACACCAAAAAAATTTCATTCAACTCAGTTAAAGAAACTAAATTGCGCATTTAAATGATCAGCAAAAACTGTATGCAAAATCAAATTCAAAAAGTGAACAACAACAAAAATTGCCAGAAAAACAGAAGCACCCAAAAATGAAACACAGCAGACGGAAACATATAATCTAGTGGTCTCACAAATCACTCGAGTGAACTTCAAAAACAGACCATCATGTTTTATAAGAAAAGACGGATCTGAATTTGTTCGGGACCCAGCTTTCTATGAGAACTGTATTCCGAGCCAATTTCGATTCTAAGTTTCATATAAATCACTTCGCGAATAAGTTCGATAAAAACGCTCTGATTTAGTGCAACCAGAAAAACAAATGGAAACGAGGGAAAAAGTCACATGTGACACAGGAATCCGAGCGACCCTTTTTTCGTCGTTTCGTTGGGTACTCCGTTTCGTTGGGTACTGTAGTCAAATGATTCTTAGTCGCTCGGAATGAGAGGATGTTAACTTGAACCTATAATTCTCACCTATATCTGGGTTCCAGAAAGTGCCAGGTTCAACTTGCAAATTAAAAGCCCCATTGTAATTGTCCGGGTTCCATTGGACAGCAGAGACATAGTAGTAGAAGAATATCCACATCTTCACAGTCCACGCGCTGCTTCTCTCGTCTATGTCAACAATCTGGTACAAGTCCGCATACGCATACACTAAAATAAAACTAAATAACGCCCAGCCCGTACCCCCCTCCCGCTGCACCTAAGCGCGTCACACAGAACTTATCCCAAGCTGAATTTTTCACCCCCGGTCTATCTCGCTTTACTACGCCGCAGATAATATCCCTTTGGTACTTAATTCTACGGGGCGTCTGAGGTTCAATACTACTCACATTCCCGAAAGGGTTAATTTGTTGGCAAGTTGTTCATAATTGTATTATGTTGATTGTCTCTTTTTGTGATGCTCTATCGACTATTCCTTTTCATTGAGTCGCAACATTTTCGATAAAGGTAATTGAATTCAACCAAATATCCAAATACAGAAAACTTATATTCTGGCTGAGATGATAGTTTATCCATTTACTTGAAAAAAGTGTCTGTGATTGCTTTTGAAAATTGCCTCTTGCAACTTAACACTCAGCCGCTTCTTTTAGAACGATATTTTCCAAGCTACTATCCTCGATAGTTTAACTCTGAATCTCAATCAATTTATTTAACTAAAGGAAAATCAACTAGCCATTCGCTAAAATTGTCCTCTTACTCTGAGAACCAATACTCAACCCAATACCAATATTTGATCTGAATCTTGGAGGCTCTCGGGTTCCTTTTCTTTATTTACCATTGGTTTTAGTTAGGTTACGCCATTCCCCAACATTCCTGGCATCCGCTTAGTTCACTTCTCTCTATATAATCTAAAACTCCCCAAATTTAACTCAACCTCCAAACAATGCTATGCTTACACAGTGAGCCTCCCAATGTCTTTATTTTATTTATCACGAAAATGTTTCCGCCCTCCTGGGGTAGGGAAAGACCTTTGGGGGTGCACTGTGATTTACCTGTTTGATCATATTATTTAGGAGGCTTACTTCGTATGTCACTCTCCGATTAGTGCCAATTTTCTGTGAGATTATTTTTGAACTGCTTCAAATAGCTTAACTATTATAGCTAAGCTCAACCCAATGTTAGCTTAGTCGCCTTGGACTAATTTCACTACTCCAACACTGTCGACAAAGAACAAGATATTTTTAGGCCCAATTTTTTTTTAATATGTCTCCTATAGGAAAACCGAAAGGTGAACATAAGGTAACCCTCGGGACAATTTTGGGGTCGTTTGCAGATCTACTCAATGGGGACAGTGAGGGATGTTGGGGTCTCATGGGGGACAATATAAAATATCACACCGTATCACGTTTCTTTTCTGTGACAAAGTTAATTTCAACGCAGAGGCAAGGCTGCACTTTGCAAACACTAGAGAAAACACGACAAAATCAGGTCCACAAAGTGCAATAAGATTTGCAAACACTAGAGAAGTAGAAATAAGCCTCGAATTAGTATAATTTCGGCTAGGTGTCGGATTTGATCTGCTACCTAGGCCGGCCTAGAGAATATGAATCTCACGCACTAACCACTCAGCCATTGACGCTTAGTTATTCACAAACACTAGCCTCCAATAATGCAGAGAACAGATGCTATGAAGTTATAAATGCTATGGATCCAATTATAGCAAAAGGGCCACTAAATAATGAATTCATTGCCACCAAATAAGGCTCTTTTCACGTCTTCCTTGATTTTTTTCTGAAATTCAATATATGAAGATTTAATTAAAGTGGCTTTTCATTTTATAAACTGCTTTAAAATGTGTCAGCTTGAACAGGCGAACAATTCTTTACACATGTTCATTTTTATTTTCACGAAGGGGTGGGAAACCGGAAAAAAGGTTCGGTAAAAATCAAAGTTTTCAACTGCAACGGTCTGAAATTGTTTCATTCTCTTATTTTTCAATGAAAGTGACATAATAGTTGGTCTTATTGTTCTGACCATGCAAATTGGGGAAAAAGATTGTATTCGGGTGTGTTTTTTCTTTATTTTTCAACGCAAAATTAGGTGCAACAAATCGAACTTGGTTGAGTTATATGTTCTTCACAAGCCGTTTCGGTCGTGGTTTGAACGAAATAAGAAAAAAGTCGGTTCGTATTAAAACACTAACGCTCGCAAGATGGCTAGTGTAAACAAGGATTGCCGTTTGCTAACTGCTGAGCAAGTAGCAAAGAAGGTTACCAGAATTTTCTGAAAAACATTCAAAAATAGGTCATTATATTTGCAAAATGAGTATTAAACGAAAAAAAAATTAGAAATTTTGTTTGCAAAATAGAGTAAAAAAGGAAGAAAAAATTTGGTCAAGTTCAATTTTTAAGCAAAAAATTTGGTCAAGAACGCGCGAAAAGATGTTTTTACAGCTAATTGAGTGCTTCTCAAACCAGTTTATATACCTCTTCCTCGACTCAGTTTTTATAGAATAACTATAAGTGTTTTTAACCCTACTTGCCCACCCGACTTGCTGTAAATTGGGCTAAAAAGTCAAATTTTTATGCCGTTTTTTTCGTTCGGGAAGAGATTTCTGGAAATTATTTTTTCAAAATTAAGCAAACGATGGACTGAAATGGTTCTTAAATGATTTGTCATTCGAGCCTGGGCGAAGTCGCAGGTATAATTATGGATAAAGTGGCCACTGATCAGGGCGTCAAATAGCTAATTTGACGCCCTGATGGGCGACTAATTCAGAATTGCATTAGAGCTATGTCACAATTTCAGCTATGATTCATCGATGTTTCAGTCATGTTAATGAGAGAAATGGCCGAAAAGAAAGTCTTTAAACAGCGAGGATTATCCCAGCCTTGTCAATCATCGCACCTCCTCGTCAAACTATGGTGGTTCCCGATTTTGCTTTGAAAAAATCACATACCTGAAAACAAATTGTGTGTCATATGTTGTAGCCGAAAGATTGTAAAAACTCTCTGTGAAAAAAAAAATATCTTCTCTAACTTGGTAAGCTAACTAAAAATTTGAATGTTAATTCAGATGTATATAATTGGTTACAAGTTCAATAATTATGATATGACTGCAATGTTTCAGCAAGCATCAGAGAGTGATCTTAGTTTCGTTAACACATTGTCATGGTTGGGAAACCTGTACCGACCTTGCCACTTTAATTGAAATTTTTCGAATAACATTCAAATAGACTAGCACAGTCTAATTCAAGGCATGACAGCCGTCACACACACCTGAAAACAAAATTTGTGTCTTATGTTGTAGCCGAAAGATAGTGAAAACTCTCTGTGAGAAAAAAGAAAACTAGCTCGAAGCATATATGCTATAACGCTGCACCAATTTTTAAAAATCACAGCAGCAGTCAGCAGTCAATTATAAAACTTTGCTAAGAAATTATATTCGCAGACACTTAGGTTCGGTAAAATCAAAGGTTTCAACTGCAACGGTCTAAAATTGTTTCATTCTCTTATTTTTCAAGGAAATTGACATAATAGTTGGTCTTATTGTTCTGACCATGCAAATTGGGGAAAAACATTGTATTCGGGTGTGTTTTTTCTTTATTTTTCAACGCAAAATTAGGTGCAACAAATCGAACTGGGTTGAGTTATATGTTCTTCACAAGCCGTTTCGGTCGTGATTTGAACAAAATAAGAAAAAAGTCCGAAAAAAATCATAGTGTTGATAAAACCGGATCAAAATTTTTGATTTTTGGTCTGTTTTTAAACGGGTAAAGCGAGCAAGCAGGCTTATTATAGAGGAATCATAGCAGATTTATGATAAATAGGCCAAGAATTTTATGTTCAATCCCTGAAAAATCTACTAAAACAATTTTTATAGTTTTTCAGCGCCATCATGGAATAAAAAAAATTCTGCAAAAAAGTTTTGTAAAAATTTTGTAAAATTTTTTTTTCGAAGAAAATTTTTTTTTCAATATGCCTGTTTCACTGTGAATATCTGAATATTGCAAATGCCTACGTTTTAGTCTTGCTTTTAGATCCTTTGGGATGCCACGCACAAAAAAATTAAAACTACCTAAAACATTTTGTTGTAGTTTTTTAAAGAATACGGTTGGAACATTCTGGGCTAATTGCACACAGCAACCGGTTATCCATGCTTCCATAAAGTAATTGTTACGGGCTTCATAAAATTAAAATATGGCGATTTTGAAACAGTTTTTGCGCAAAAAACGTAAAACATTCATCATTCCGGCTCAGAATCATTCCTTTATTTATATTAGAGCAAACTATTTATTGTGGGGCAGATGCAAAAAAAAAAGAAAAAAAAAATGAAATGAGCCAGGGGCAAAACATGTCTCAACTAATGAAAAAAAAAATTAGGATGAACAAGAAAACCTAATTGCTTTTCATCTAGCACAGAACCCTGTTGCTGTTCAAATACCGCTTTACTGTTCAATGTTTTTTTTTTAAATTGGCTATCGTTTTGATGCGCGTTGCAGTTGAAAATGTTGAGCGTTAATTTTGAAAAATAGGTTCAAACTACTGAAATAATAATAAAAAAAAAACAAAGATTGACGCACTTGAGTAGTCGAGTTTTTAGATCAGCTATCGCTTTTAAAGGTCTCAGAGCAGCCTTTGGGTGAAAAAATATGAAAAAACTCCTCGAACAGATTCTAGAACAAAAAAGAGCGCTGTTCAGTTGATCTTAAATATCTGTAGAGGTGTGGGTGATGATGCTGCTAGTTGCATCTTCAGAGGGATGGTCAACAAGAAATTTTGTCATCTTCTCCATTTGCCGTAGTAAGGCGGTGGCGTCTATTTTCAATTCATCTAAGTTGATAACCGTATATTCGTCGTTTGTTCTTCAGTTGCCTGAATTGCTTTTTGCAAGCGTTTTGACGTGAAAACGCGTTGAACAGGGCTTGCTTTTCTCGGCTTTCTGGTTAGTAAGACGGATTGATTACTCCCATTGATGCGTTACCCTAAGTCTAAACCACCTTCAGAGCGAGAAGAGATTGCGAACAATTAATTTTCATTTTATTTCAAAAGATATTATATACAAATATTATAAATTGTTGTGAGAAGTAACTGTAAAAGTTTCTCTGATATTTGAATGAAAAGATAATAAAATAACCTTACGTACAGAGGACGTACATTTAGTGCATCACGTTAGATTAGCATAAAATTTTGTACACAGGATCAGGAGAACAAAGTACCAGGAGAAACCGAACCTTTATGAGGTATTTGCAATTGCAAAAAAAATCCCGGCAGTGGAGGAATGTTGTAAGCCACAGAACAAATTCGTCGTTATTAAACTGGCATCGTTCTTGCAAGACGCTATGTAAACTAAGAAGTGTGGAATGTTAAAAATTAAAGCATCAAGTTTTGTCCTATTTCGATGCGTTGCTAGAAAATTAAATCAGTTTTTAACTTTTTCCTTCTAAATGTTATTTCGTCTTTTTTCAGTAATTTGATTTCGGTTGTCTTCATTTTGTTGTGTTCATGGAATGGGGAAATTCATTGCATGTCGGGCTTGCCTTCTAAGCCTTGAAAGTCGCAAAAAATTAGTCGATTTGTTGCTCTGTTCAAATCAGGCTAATTTATTCTTCATCAGACACTGAGGAGTTATTAGTAAGTAAATGATCCCAATTATCTTTTTAGTTTCAAATTAACGACAGAAAAAAGATTTTTTCACGATTTATCAATTAACCCCGTCTGCATTTAGTATTGGTACCTGATCTTGCCTTAAAAATTGAAGAAAAAATAAAACGACTGGCATACAGACTTCCCTCATTTTTCCGTTTCGGATTAATATATTGTACGAAGCTTTCTGTTAGTGAAAATCAGCATTTTTTAAAAAAAACAACAGCTTTGGTGGACGTTTGAACAAAATAAGGCGGTCAAATAAACTATCGGGGTATCGATTTCAATCTCGAGAAGCACACATATGATTTACCTGTTCTGTTCACAAACGACAATGGCGGCGAGTGACTCGTCACTTTGCTCTTCACGAACTGCAAAAGTCTTTTCTCGTGTTCAGTTTCGTCCACGACATCATTTGCCAATATCAGAGAAAAATCGACAAGAATGAAAAACAAAAAAAGCAGAGCTATTATCTGCATTGTTATTTTTCTATCAGCTCACTTAAGTTATCCAAAGCTAGAATAAAATTCTCCAAAAGAGGAAAAAAATTAACCCGGAAAATGTTCGATCGGCAATTATTTTTTTGTTGTTTTAACGGAAATTAGATTCCGGTCTGTTTATTTATTTTTTGGATTAAATTGATGGGAAGTAATTACCGAGCATTTATTTGCACCTGGAACAAAGCAAGATACATTTTTCAAAAATTATATCAGAGGAAAACTGCTTGGATGAAAGAGAAGTTTGTTTCGTTTTTCGTCTGACCTTCGGTAGCATTTTTTTATTCATTTTTAAACAAACAAAAATTTTTTCACAAAGTACTTTTTTTGGTATTTCAGGCTGTTGAGCATACCTTGTGATTAGTTGGAAAAAAAGAAGCTTTGTTGAGCAGGAGCAGACACAATGGTGATTCGATCCCTGTTGTCGTACCAATTTATGGTTTTTTTTCGGCCAAGCGATTTTTTTCTACTAGCGCCGCTGATTTTCTAGAGTGTGCGTGTATGTATGTGAGAGAAACACTTTATTGTTACATCAATCTTTGCAGTTACAAAACACCTGCTGTGGGTTCAGGTGGGGGGGGGGGTGTTATTGAGGCGGGGGTGTTCAGGTGGGGGTGGGGGGATGTGGGTTCAGGTGTGGGGGGGGGGGGGGGGGTGTATAAGGGGTTCATGCGGGGGGTGTTCAGGCGGGGGGTGTTCAGGGGTGGGGGGATGTGGGTTCAGGTGTGGGGGGGGGGGTGTATAAGGGGTTCAGGCGGGGGGTGTTCAGGGGGGGATTGTTGAGGCGGGGGGTGTTCAGGATGGGGCGGGGTTGTTCAGGTATGGGGGGGTTTCAGGTGGGGGGTTGGGTTCAGTGGGGGGAGGGGAGCAAAGGGGCAAACAAAATTGATGTTGATAATGAGTAGAAGACGGCTCAGTTTTAATCCAGTTTTTCAAAAATCTCTTCGAAATGCATGTAAAAAAGTAAAATAGCATTTTTTTTCAATCTATGTTATCGCTAATCAACTATATATTTCGTGACTTTACAAACAATAAAAATCATATATTTGTACAAATCTTATAAATCACATATTTTTTGAGCACCATAAAGTGTCAACAGATAAATTTTGAATACAGATTGGTATTTTACTGTGAAGTTTGCAGTTTTTCATTTCGGGTGACTTTCAAAGTCTTGAACTGTTTAGTTCTTAAAAACTTACATTAATTCGATGGCTCCTTTTAGAGTTTGAGTAATTTCAATACCAAAAAATCTGTGGGTATCAAAAGCAACTTTGAAAATTTAAAAAGGGTTTAATTCAGACTATTCGGGGGTGCATTCAAAATTACTAATAAGAAGCTTTTATGCAGTGGCAAAACAGGGTCTTTTTACTCAAACGGCCCAGAAAAAAATCAACCAATTCGGAGTGAGAAATCCGATGCGAGCAGTTTCATTTTGTTATCAAGTTCCGAGTCTTAGAAATTTGCGGTTTGAGTAAAAAGACCCGAAAATCGTCTTAGCTTAAATAAATGCATCGAATTTGTTTCGGATCAATTAAGCGTCTATATCTCTCCTAACAATTTTCTAACTTCAAAACAAAGAAGTAACACGGATAACATTGAAATTACTTGTGTTTCCTGTATCAGTTTTTTGAGAGACTTGTTTGGGGGTATCTGCAGATCGTCGATGATAATTGATCTGTTTTCACAGCAGATTTTTATAAAATTAGTTTCAGTAAAATTTGATCATCATTTTCGTCATGTCGACTAGTTTGTCACTTTGTATTTTAGCACAAAAACTGCCCGAACAAAAAGGTGCGTTTAGAGATGTACCACAGAAGGCACTATTCGGGAACCACCATCCCGAGCTGAGTTTGTCGGAACACGAGTTGTCGGTGGCTCCGGCCGAGAAGCGCTTTCCTCGGATACTTTCAAGGTCATTGAGACCAATCTCATTGGTCAATTCAGCACCTGAAATAATATTATTTGAGTTACACTCTAAATAATTAGACTCTTCATACAATGTGAATTTAAGTGTAAGTTTATGTAATTTCACTTGCAGTTTAACATGCAATTCAAGTGAACTTTTTAACTATATTACAAACGCATATACAAACATCGTTTGTAAAAAAACTACGTATTTTTAAATTATATTTGGGCAAAAAAATAGGAATATTTAACAAACGGTCTGCCTTCTAAGACGCAGAACAAAAAACTAGATCTGAAATTTTCAGAAAAACACCAAAAAAGGCCAAAAGCTTCACTGTACATTATATGTGTCATGCATAAATTCTTACATACGTTTTACCTTCAATTTACCTTTTCAAGTATATTACAATAGAAATTACTGATGCAATATTTGTTACTTGTACATAAGTTTGCATACAGCGTATCCCAAATGCATGCTGAATATAGTCAGTGCTACCTGCTCAAAGTATGTAATTTGCAGGTAAAATTACCTGCAAAATTCCCGCACCGAAGTTTCTCCGTCAATATTGTTTTTTTTTATGTTCTGACAATTTTATGTTCGAAATCAACATAGACTCTGTAGCAATCAATTATATGACAATTTTATGTTCGAAACAAAAAAAAACAGGTTAGATGGTCTAAGCATTTGATTAAAATATTTTATTTTCTGTCAATTATATTGGAATTATTATCTATTTATTTCCTCTACATTAAACCAAAAAATGCGTTTTTCTCTCCATATAATCTGAAAAAAATCTTATGTTTTTCTCCATATAAGCTCAGTAAATTGTATTGTTTGTACCATATAATGGCAAAAAATCTTGTTTTTCGCCATATTCGCTAAGATACATGACTCATTATAAGCCTAATTTTTTTACCTTAAAACCACAAAATCAAATCATTGCTTTTAAAAATTTTTTTTAGTAGTGGGTTGCAATTTTTAGCAAGTTTCTTTCACCTGCCTAATTTTTATTATATCAATCTTGATTTTTAGTATTTTAGCGCATTGTGCATTCAGGGTGCATTCCTTCTTCATTTTTTTTTTTGCTTTCGGTTGTTTTGGAACTAAAAATCATCAGAACTTTCCAAAAATTTCCCTGTGGTGCTATTTTAAGACATCCATTTTTGGCTGCCTGACCCTAAAAAGATTCTGAAGGCGCCTGAGGCACCACTAATTTCAAACTTTTTTGAAAAACGAGTTCTTGTTAAAAAATTAGATCTTGCAAGACACAATTAGAAGTCAACCTATTATCCCATCTCTACATTTGAATTTCAACTTTGAGGAACAAAATTTTTCTTATGAAAAAATTACAGAGTGAACAAATTAGGTATACTGAACACATTTGTTTTTCATACCTTACAGCAAAAAAACACATATTGTGAACATAAGTACACTGGAAACTGATTTTGGAATTTTGTGAAAAAAGTCAAAAGATCTGGAAGTCTTGCAAAAAACTTATCCAACAAGTTAAGATCTCAAAATCTTAAAATTTTTACTTAAGTTGACAGGAAATTTTCCGTTATAGCCTTCAAATAAATTAAAATGCAGAAGAAGCAGAAGAAAAAGAAGAAGAAGATTTATTTCTCATGAGGTACTAGTTATAAAAAATTAAGCACTAGGTATATACAATAAATACCTCTGAGACGTCAACCAACGAACCCAATTGGGTTGCGCACGTCTGCCCTTTACACAAAATCCACAAGAGGAAACTTATCAATTGATTTGGCGTTCGGAAACAAAAAGAAATTAATGCAAAATTAAGAGAGTTGTAAATATTTTGGTAAGACGTATTCAAAATCAGTCCTAAATTTCGTTTTCTCGCAATTAAAGCTCTTTTGGTTAGCAATAAATTTTATTGACCGGTTAACTGAGCATTTCGATCAAGTATGTTTTTGATTATGTCACAGGATAAGATAAGAAATGAACATACACAACACATACATAACTCTTAGCTCCATACATTAGAAAAAAATAAAGCAACTACAGAAATTAAAACAAGAAATGAAATGTATCTGTTTTTTTTCTGAGAAAATCACAAAAAGTCAATTCTTTTTTCAAATATGAACTAACTTTTTTTAAAAACTCTCACAGCAGATATTATGATTCATAATTTTTCACAAGACGAAAGTTTTCTCTTATAAAAAGGCCTAAACGGTATAAAATCTCTTTTCGAAATTCTTTTGAGATTTTTGAATTCTACTATAACCCGAGGTTTTAATGAAGCAGCATTAAGAAAGTACTTGAAGTTTCTCATACCTAGGTTGAACTGATATCCTTCATTTTTAGACCCAATTGAGAAGCTGTCAAACTCGACAGCTTTCATTTCACTCTCTCCTGTAATCCGAACTTCTACTTTCAATTTCCATTGTCGCTCAGATGTCAAGTTGTAAACAGTTTCCAAACCAAGCCAGAAGTTGTTGCCAATTCCAGGTGATCCGAAGCCGTTCTCATATTCGACCATTGATTTATTGAAACTAACAGATGAGTCTACTCGTTGTTGGATTATTACGTAACCGTCGTCACTTATGTAAGAGTCGGGATTTGCAACTCCCAGATCAGCAAGAATGTCCGCTTCGGTAATTCCCTCCAACTGCTCAATAGCACTCTAAAAAATCTTATATTTCAATAATTGGCTCATGTGAACAATTCCCCTTCCCCCATGAGTTAACCAAGTGAACACGATTCAACTCCTACGACTAAATGGCAAATCAAACAGTGACGCCAGCGTGCAAAGTGCTGAATTTTGAACAAGAAAATTTTTAATCAAGAAAACGATCATTTCACTGAAATTATCTAGGGAGAAGATTGTTCACTCAATCCCAATCATTAGCTGGAACCAGTGATGTCCATTTAAAAAATAGAAATTGAAATTTAACTTAAAATTGTATACGAAAAATATAAAAATTGTTGGCATCAATTTAAATTTTTCCGAAACAGTTCAAAGTTTTCTTCATTCTGTTTTAAGCAGTTTTTCTGCCAAATTTGGGAATTTTTCGCAATTTTGTGAAACGATTTACAAAGCATTTTTTTGGGCATA